TGTTTTGAATTAAGATAATAGATATTTTCACTATTATATCCTGAGACAAATATAATATAGAAGACAGCTACATATCTTTGACTTTACCCCCAGAAAAAAAGACATTAAAAAAAAAATTGTCCATGTATTTAGCACACTTTACTGAAGATTAGCAATATGGAACAATGAGGTGAGGCATAAATCTCCTTGCTTCTAAAAAATATCTCTTACGTGTTTGCCAACTGAGACCTCAGCTTTTAACAGGAAAAGGAAGGGAAGGGGGGAAAGAGAGAGAGACAGAGACAAGAAGAGAAAGGGGAGAGATGGAGAACGGAAGAAACGGAGAGATTGAGAGAGAGAACCAATTGACTTTCTGGTGCAGTGTATCTCCATTCTCTCTCTCCTTCAGGAAAAATCTGATGGACTCCTTACAAGGAACACTATCCCACAAAGGGGTTCTTAGCTCCCTGAGAATAGTCAAAACTCCAAATATGCACATTTTCTCCTAAAGTATGATTAGGATCTTGCCCATTTTTTTGTTATTCCACTACTGACTCTAAGTCAAAGGAAGCAATAGAAAAATACTTTCTAGGAATAAAACTTATATACCAACATTAGAAGGCAGAAGAAATTATTACTAGTTTTAATTTTAAAAATTACCATTTGTATTTTTATTAACAGGATATAATAAATTCAACATAAATTTTATTGGTTTATGCCATGTGTGCAAGTTCGTTATTTTAGCATTATGATAAAATGAATATAAATAATATATGTTCAAAAATTATTATTAAAATATTATAGATATAAAATATTTACTATTCTGAAATATTTATGTGCATCCATATACATCTAAGGCTTCGTTTATTGCATACAGGCTGACTCAATTTCTCAAAAACAATAGTAAAAGTAAAAACTGTAATTATAGATCACATTTTTAAAAATGTTTAAACAGTATTCAAATATGGTTTTTATTCTATGCATAAAATTTTACTTTGAGAAAATGTATGGCATACATGTAAGGAAACACTTCTATGAATTTAGCACATCGAATAAGCAAATATTTCCTACACGAGGATTTACTAACAAATTCAGCAACACGCTTTGGATTCTCTGACACTAATTTGTAATATTTGTGTTTAGGAGAGGGAAGAGGCCATTTAACATAATTTTTAAAGTAGAAAGTAAATTCCCATATTTTAAATATCAATAACTACATGATAGTAACTACATATGCACTTAATTTATAAAAATCTAATGAAGACCACTAGACCTTTCAGGTATGAACTAAATCAAATCCCTTACAATTATACAGTGAAAGTGACAAGTAGATTCAAGGGATTGGAGATGATAGACAGAATGCCTGAAGAACTATGGACAGAGGTTCGTGACATTGTACAGAAGGCAGTGACCAAGACCATCCCCAAGAAAAATGCCAAAAGGCAAAAAAATTGTCTAAGGAAGGCTTAAAAATAGCTGAAAAAAGCAAAGAAGCTAAAGGCAAAGGAGAAAAGGAAAGATATGCATCTGAATACAGAGTTCCAAAGAACAGCAAGGAGAGATAAGAAAGCCTTCCTCAGTGATTAATGCAAAGAAATAGAGGAAAACAACAGAATGCAAAAGATTAGAGATCTCTTCAAGAAAACTGGAGATACCAAGGGAAAATTTCATGCAAAGATAGACACAGTAAATGACAGAAACGATATGAACCTAACAGAAGCAGAAGATATTAAGAAAGAGGTAGCAGGAATACACAGAAGAACTGTACAAAAAAGATAACCAGGTAACCATGATGGTGTGATCACTAAACAAGAGCCAGATATCCTGGAGTGCAAAGTCAAGTGGGCCATAGCATCACTATGAACAAAGCTAGTGGAGGTGATGGAATTCCAGTTGAGCTATTTCAAATCCTAAAAGATGATGCTGTGAAAGTGCTGCATTCAATATGCCAGCAAATTTGGAAAACTCAGCAATGACCGCAGGACTGGAAAATGTCACTTTTCATTCCAATCCCAAAGAAAGGCAATAACAAAGAACGTTCAAACTGTGGCACAATTGCAGTCATCTAACACGCTAGCAAAATAATGCTACAATTCTCCAGGCCAGGCTTCAACAGTATGTGAACTGAGAACTTCCAGATGTTCAAGCTGGATTTAGAAAAGGCAGAGGAACCAGAGATCAAATTGCCACCATCCATTGGATCATAGAAAAAGCAAGAGAGTTTAAGAAAAACATTTACTTCTGCTTCATTGACTATGCCAAAGTCTTTGACTGTGTGGATCACAACAAACTAGAAAATTCTTCAAGAGATTGGAATACCAGACCACCTGACCTGCCTCCTGAGAAATCTGTATGCAGGTCAAGAAGCAAGAATTAAAACCGAAGATGGAACAATGGACTGGTTCCAATTTGGGAAAGGAGTATGTAAAGGCTGTATATTGTCACCCTGCTTATTTAACTTATGCAGAGTTCATTGTGCAAAATGCTGGACTGGATGAAGCACAAACTGGAATCAAGATTTCAGGGAGAAATATCAATAACCTCAGATATGCAGGTGACACCACATTTATGGATGAAAACGAAGAGTAATTAAAAGGCCTCTTGATGAAAATGAAAGGAGAGTGAAAACACTGACTTAAAACTCAACATCAAAAAACAAAGATCATGGCTTCTGGGCCCATCCCTTCATGGCAAACAATGTGGAAACAATGGAAGCAGTGAGAGACTTTCTTTTCTTGGGCTCCAGAATCACTGCAGATGGTGACTGCAGCCATGAAATTAAAAGACGCTTGCTCCTTAGAAGAAAAGATATGACCAACCTAGATAACATATTAAAAAGAAAAGACACCACTTTGTCGACAAATGTCCATCTAGTCAAAGCTATGGTTTTTCCAGTAGTCATGTTTGGATGTGAGAGTTGGACCGTAAAGAAAGCTGAGCGCCGAAGAATTGATGATTTTTAACTATGGTGCTGGAGAAGAGTCTTGAGAGTCCCTTGGACAGCAAGGAGATCCAACCAGTCAATCCAAAGGAAATCAGTTTTGAATATTCATTGGAAAGACTGATCTGAAGCTGAAGCTCCAATATTTTGGTCACCTGATGCAAAGAAATGATTCATTGGAAAAGAACCTGATGCTGGGTAAGATTGAAGGCAGAAGAAGGGGACAACAGAGGATGAGATGATTGGATGGCATCATGAGTTTGAGCAAGCTCTGGGAGTTGGTGATGGACAGGGAAGACTGGCATGCTGCAGTCCATGGGATAGCAAAGAAGCAGACATGACTGAGCCACTGAGCTGAACTAAACTGAATGATTAATAATATTTTGAGCAAGTTATTCCTTAATAACACAAGGATTTAAAGATGTTAACACCAGTACTATATTCTCAGTTGATTTTGAAATAGTATTATTTGTTGTAATTCTGTCTTGTTTTTTAACTGAACATATGATAATCCTTGTCTAATACAGCTGACATTTGTTAAGATTTATTCACAGATTTTGCAATTCATTTTTGCTCCATTTCTTCTTGTATCAGTTTTCTTCTGCTGGAAGGACAGCCTTTTGAATTTCCTTTAATAATGGCAAGCTCTGTGTAGGTTTGAAAACATCTTTGTGAGTATATACTTATGTTTTGAAACTTTTTTTCTCAGTTTCTTGGCTTCTATTGTTGTTGTTTAAAAGTGATCTAGCAGACTTACTGTCACTCCTTGAAGAATATTTTTTTTCCCTTTGATTGATTTTAGAATTTTATTTTTGAATGTTTATTGTCAGTTTCATTTTGTCATCCTTAAATATATATGTTTTTCTATTTATCTAGCCTCAGATTCTTTGCGTTTTTTGAAGCTGTGACTTTTGTCCCTCAATTTTGGAAAATTCTCACCCATTGTTTCTTCAATATCGGATTTGACACATACCTGCTACTCTCCTTTTACTGTAGTTAGGCTTTCATAGTTATTCATCATGTTGCCTAACTTCTTTTAAATATTTCCAGTCTTTGTCACTCTCTGCTTTCTTCTGGATAGTTTAGCAGCTCTCTCTCCCAGGTCCTTTGTTGTGTTATGAACTACATTCGTATGCATGCATGCGTGTGTGTGTGTGCATGCTCAGTAATGTCCAACTCTTTGCAACCCCATATTCTTCAGCCCTCTAGGCTCCCCTGTCCAGGGAATTTTCCAGGCAATAACTCTGGACTTAGTTGCCATTTCTTACTTTATTCTCCATGTGACGAGTTTTTCAGCTTATTTTATTGAATTAGCACTTTGACGATGAAGTTTTGAATTTTCAGGGAGCCAAAAATCTTTTTGCAGATGAACACAGTGGAAGTATAAAGTCAAAACATGACATGAAAATCAAAATGAACTACATTTAATCAGCTTGTAAACCCATTTATTCTGTTTTTCTTTTGGATTATTTCATATTTAAATTATTCAATCTATTTCCCCATTTTCCCCCAAATAAGATAGGTCACTATATATAGTGTCTATTTTCGGCCAAGGTTTTGAAGACTGAAAATATTAAAGTAAGCAGAGCTGTCTGTTTTCTGTGTTGGATAGGTATGATATTTAAGGCTTGGTAGGTCTATGTTTGCTGTTGGTGTTCAGTCCCTAAGTCATGTCCAACTCTTCACTACCCCATGGATCACAACATGCCAGGCTTCCCTATCCTTCACTGTCTTCTGGAATTTGCTCAAATTCTTGTCCATTGAGTCAGTAATGCTATCTAACCATCTCATCCTCTGTTGCCCTCATCTCCTTCTGCACTTTGTCTTTCCCTGCCGGCAAACGAACCGGTCACGGGCGCAATCGCCGAAATACCTGAGAAATAAAAGACTAGGAAAGATGGGGTTGAGAGGGACAGAATCAGCTCTCGACTGAAACCGGCAAATTTATTGAAGAATACCACACCTATATATGTGCTAACAGGAGTTACTAATAGATTAAAGGTTTGCATATGTGCAGAGCTACAGGCACAGATGTTTTAAATTCCTCCACTTAAGGACAGTAAAGTATTACCCNTTCCAGAGAATCTTTTTCCTTCAATAATGAGCTCTAATTTTGGTCTTTGAGCCGAAATAGATTGAACCCAATAAACATCAGAGGAACCAAAACCACCAGCCTTCCTTTCTCTCTGTGAGGCAATCTTTCCTTCCACATGAAGGGGTAATAAAATTAATTGGGCAATTCTTTGATCAATAGGTATACTAATAATGTTAAGGGGGGCACAAGCCATAATTTTAATTTCCCCAGTATAGTCGGCATCAATCACGCCAGGGGAAATGGACAATCCCTTCATGGTCCAACTGCTCCTGCCAATGATTAATCCAACTGTTCCTTTTGGTAGTGGTCCAAATACCCCTGTAGGAATGGCTTGCATCCCCATATCTGGGGTTAATACTGTGTGGGCGGCAGCGCACAAGTCCAATCCTGCGCTGCCTGGGGTGGCTCGGTAGAGGTTTTCGATACCAAGTCGATCAGGTTTGGTTGTGACTCGGCTTTGAGTGCCCCATAACACTGTTTCGGGGCCTGGGGCTGGCCCCTCACCCAGTTTCCCGAGACAGGAGGCAGAGGTTTACCTTCTATGTCAGTCTTAGAACGACAGTCTCTGGCCCAATGTTTTCCCTTTTTACATCTAGGGCAGACATTAGGATTTTTTGCCGAATCAGGGTTATTGTTCCTTTTTGGGCATTGAGCCATACGATGTCCCATTTGTCCACATGAAAAACAGCTTCCTGGTGGCCCGCTTCTTTTTATATTTCCCTTATTCCTTGCTTGTTGGTACAAAACCTCTTTAATAGACTTTCCTTGAATAGCTGCGGCCATAGAAAGCCCTTGAAGGTAAGAAGGGCCAATATCAGCACAAATTCTAACATAATCTGTTAAATTTCCCTTTTTCCTGTAAGGTCGCAGAGCGGCTTGGCACGCAGCATTTGCATTCTCATAGGCCATCTGTTTTGTTAAAATAAGACCTGCCTCTTCATCTCCTATAATCTTAGATATTGCATCTAATAGACGAGCAACAAAATCCTGATAAGGCTCGTCAGGCCCTTGCCGAATTTTCGAAAGATCTTCAGTCTTTCTATTAGAAACGGGAAGTTTCTTCCAGGCTTTTAATGCAGCTTCACTAATCTGAAGGTAAGCTTGTTCTGGATAATTTAGTTGTGCATCAAGAGCCCTAAAGACTCCTTCTCCCATTAGCATGTCAAAATTAATTTGTAACCCATTACGGCGATTACGATCTTCAATAAGACCACAAACTTCTCCATACTCGGAGCGCCAGAGCAAATAATCGCCTCCAGAAAGGCAGGCGCGTGTAATAGCTTTCCAATCGTTGGGTGGCAGATATTGGGCTCCGAGGCTCTCAATTATAGCTAATGTAAAAGGTGCCGTGGGTCCATACTGGGCACAAGCCTGCTTAAGCTCCTTTAACTGTTTAAATGGAACAGGCTCATGATACCTGCGGCGGTTAGCGTCTTCAAAGACTGGAAAAATCATGGAATATCCCTCAAGGCTTTCTCCTTGGTCTCTAGCATGTTTCACAGCCATTTGAAGTGGGGAAAGGACGGGTTTTTCAAATTTCAAAGGAGAATATACAAGAGCTGTAGGTATTAAGGGAGCCTCAACCAAAGGAGGAGGCATAGGAGGAATCGGAGCGGGATCCAGTCCTGCCACAACAGACGGTGTATTGAAGTGCTGCGGCTTGGGACCCGAAGGAGGCAGCAAGTCTAACTGCTCCACTCTCTGTGATATAGATGTTAACATTTCTTTAAGTTCCAAAAAGGGGGATGCCTTGTCCTTCCCTTTTGTGACAATAAAAGCATCCCAATTCTCTCTATTGTACTCAAATGCTTTCTCATCTAGTTCTCCTTGATCCTCATGAGAGAGTTCAGACTCTGAGTCAGATGTTAAAGCAACAGCCTCCTTTTTACTAGATTTTGGGTCTTCCGGGGACTCGCAAATGTGTTCAACTGTCCCGGAGGTAGGCTGCAGATTTTTAGGAGTTATAAACTTTAGAGCAGTTAGCATAATTTTTAACGTAGAAACAAAGAACTGTTTACTACTACTTTGACCCATAATTTTTACTCTCAACTATACCCTCTCCACCCACAATACCTGCAACTTCAGAAGCTGCCCGCTGGATTACTTGTTCTTGGGTGGCTGTAGTCCGGGATCCGCTCATGTCCCTGTTCGGGCGCCACTTGCCGGAGCCTGATCCGCCACTTGCCGGACCTCTTGATCTCTCTCAGGGCCAAGAAGGAGCCTGAGCAGTCAGGCTGGCTCCCCGCATCCTTCTCCCACAGAGTCCAAAACTCTGTTCTTTACATCTGTGTCTCTTCTGGTGTCTCTTAGGGTCATTGTTACCATCTTTCTAAATGCCATATATGCATTAATATACTGAATTGGTGTTTTTCTTTCTGACTTACTTCATTTGGTATAATAGGCTCCAGTTTCATCCACCTCATTAGAACTGATTCCAATGTATTCTTTTTAAGAGCTGAGTAATATTCCATTGTGTATATATACCACAGCTTTCCTATCCATTCGTCTGCTGATGGACATCTAGGCTGCTTCCATTCCCTGGCTATTGTAAACAGTGCTGCGATGAACATTGGAGTACATGTGTCTCTTTCAGTTCTGGTTTCCTCGGTGTGTATGTCCAGGAGTGGTATTACTGGGTCATATGGTAGTTCTATTTCCAGTTTTTTAAGGAATTGCCACACTGTTCTCCATAGTGGCTGTACTAGTTTGCATTCCCACCAACAGTGTAAGAGGGTTCCCTTTTCTCCACACCCTCTCCAGCATTTATTGCTTGTAGACTCTTGGATAGCAGCCATCCTGACTGGTGTGTAATGGTACCTCATTGTGGTTTTGATTTGCATTTTTCTGATAATGAGTGATGTTGAGCATCTTTTCATGTTTGTTAGCCATCTGTATGTCTTCTTTGGAGAAATGTCTGGTTAGTTCTTTGGCCCATTTTTTGATTGGGTCATTTATTTTTCTGGCACTGAGCTGCAGGTGTTGCTTGCATATTTTTGAGATTAATTCTTTGCCTGTTGCTTCATTTGCTATTATTCTCTCCCATTCTGAAGGCTGTCTTTTCACCTTGCTTATAGTTTCCTTTGTTGTGCAAAAGCTTTTAAGTTTCATCAAGTCCCATTTGTTTATGTTTGCTTTTTTTCCCATTACTCTGGAAGGTGGGTCATAGAGGATCCTGCTGTGGTTTATGTCAGAGAGTGTTTTGCCTATATTTTCCTCTAGGAGTTTTATAGTTTTTGGTCTTTACTGTCTGAGCCCTTACACAATGTTATATGTCAATGATTTCTCAATAAAGCTAGGAAAAACTTGTGCTCTATTTTTGTTGGCAAACAGGTGCCTCTGAATCCAGAAGAATGTCTCTTGTGTTTACCACTGTTCCAGAAGAATTAGTGGAATGGAACAATAACCAGAAAAAGAGGACAGTAAGACAGATCAGTCGCAAAAAATTTGTCCTGTATGACAAGGTGAAATCTAATTTATCCCATTTTCTAGTCATTTGGGAACATCTTTAAACAAAATTATTTTCACAGTGTTTTTTAATCATTTAATTTCACCCCAAATTTTTTTTCTTTTGGACCTAATTTTTTTCTGTGGTATAGCTGATTAACTATGTGATAGTTTCAGGTGAGCAGCAAAGGGACTCAGCCATGCAAATACAGGTACTATTCTCCCCCAAACTCCCTCCTCATCCAGGCTCCCACATGTCGGAGCAGAGTTCTGTGTAGGTCCTTCTTGGTTATCCTTTTTAAATAGAGCAGTAATTTCACCCAACCTTGTCTTGCAAGTGTATTTACTCCATTTTGCCAATGTTACACATCATGGAAAGGCATTTCACGAATTTTGTAGAAAGTATAAGATTAATACTCAAATGTGTATATTCTAATATTCTCAAATTGAAAAATTCATATGTTTACTAGAAATCTTTATGACGGTGCAGTCTGAAAATAACAGCTAAAAAATTTTTCAGAGCATCCTTGAAATTAAACCATATACAAAAGAAAGCAACTTTCCTTTGGCCTTTTCCAAGATTCCTTGCCTATGATTTGCTGGGATGAATGGAGAATAAATATAATCTTTTAGGACATATATTTAACATAATATTTTAAAAGTACTAGTAATTTTAATGTGCTGTATCTTTTCCCACTGAATAATATGAATTCATCTTCTGTTACATGGATTCCCTTCTTTACAATTTATGTTTCAATCAATGCAGTGGATAAGTGTTTAACCTTGGCTGAAAAATGCAAAGCAAATTAATTTAGTTATAGAAAGCTTTCATAACACCAAGATAACTACCACAAAAGTGATGTGTGACATCTCTAAGGAGTTTCTAAAGCTTATCTTGTAGAAAACAAAAGGAGCCCCAAAACTGAATTATCTTGACTGAAGACAGGGATGCATGGTGAAGTCCTAACCAGGATGCCACTGCTCAAAGGAAACACTCCCTTTTCTGGCAATGTGGTCCTTTGCAATCCCACAGTAATATAAAAGAAGATACATTTGTTGTGATGACTTGGGTGATTTAATGATCTTTAGGCATCATTAGAGCCACGTGTAATTGGAAAAATAATATCATCACCTATTTTTCAGTTGGTTACCCATGACTAAGACATATTATGGATAATCAACCTTCTTACCTATGCATGTTTTGTAATCATGAAACTGCGGGCATCATACAATGTAGTTTTATATCCCATGCTACAATATCAGTAAAGGTTCAGTCAAAAAAGCAATAGAAACCAATTAGCTGTTTATAGATGAATATTTAATATAGAGAGTTGGTTAAAATGTTATTGAAAGACTGAAAGACAAGAAAGAAAAATGTGGTACCATAGTGATCATAACTGAAGGACAAAGCTACTCTACCGAGGGCCGGAGGGGTATAAAGGGACCCGTTGAGCTTTTAGAGTGAAGAGACATTTGCAGGCCACTGCTGAATGTGTGTTAAGATGAACACAAGATGGAACATAGACTACAAGATGGAATGTGATTTCAAATGCCCCACCCTAAAGCATAGGCCAGGTGTACGATGTAGAGAAGCTATGTGAAGAAATTTATTGGAAATAATGGGGAAAATGCATTGCTTATTACCACATCAGGGTCTTCATTTCTTCCCCATTTGACCTCTGATCTCTTTTTGGATATTCAGCATTTGTCCATGAGGAATGTTAGGACCCAAGGCATAAAGTTCACCTTTGAAAGAGAGACTTGACTTGGATCAGTAGTTGTCAACTGTGGGCACACACTAGAACCACCTGAGAGCGGCGGCTGATTCATGTCAATGTATGGCAAAAACCACTACAATACTGTAAAGTAATTAGCCTCCAACTAATAAAAATAAGTGAAAAAAAAAATCCTCATGCTTGGATCACACCCAGGTCCAGTTGAATCAGAAACTCTGGTGGAGAAACCCAGTGGTCAGTATGTTAAACCTCCCAGATGATTGCAATAAAAGTCAAGGCTGAGGAGCAGTGACATGTAGCTCAAATAACAGCATGTGAAGATTTGAGAATAGAATTTACTCTTGAAAATATATAAGAGCTTGGAAAATTGGTAAATTTTTTGTATATTAAAGGGGAATTATTCATCTTTTGAGGATGCTTGGGCTACCAAAAATAAAAATATAGAATCTTTATAGATAGAATGAGATTCTACAAGGAGTGATTTTGATACAAAAAGGATCTAGAACTCTTCACTGTCATGTTAAAACATGTGTGTGTGTGCATGCTCAGTCTTGTTTGACTCTTTGTGACCCTGTGGACTATAGCCCACGAGGCTCTTCTGTCCATGGGATTTCTCAGGCAAGAATGCTGGAGTGGGTTGCCACTTCCTCCCCCAGGCATCTTCTGGACTCAGGGATTGAACCTGTGTTTCCTGCATTGGCAGGGGAATAAGCTATAGAGAAGTAATATTCAGGTAGAAAGTGAGGAGAGACATGAAGGCCATAAGAGCTACAAAAATGATGTCATGAAAGAGGTAGAATTTTCAGAGCTCCAGATTTAGTTTTGCTACATTTTCTAGTATACACTCAAATGGGTTGCCATATCCTAAGATGAGTTTGTGCTGCTAAGGAACCTCCACAAGACCCTTTTGATGTCTTTGTTCCTCAGGCTGTAGATGAAGGGGTTCAGCATGGGGGTGACCACAGTGTACACCACCGAGGCTGCTGCATCCTTCCTGGGAGACTGTGAGATGGCTGAGCTGAGGTACACACCCAGGGATGTTCCATAAAATAAGCAAACAACTGCCAGGTGAGAACCACAGGTGGCAAAGACTTTGTATATCCCACCTGATGAGGGGATTCTCAGAATGGAGACAAGAATTTTATAGTAAGAGAAAATGATTCCTGAGATAGAGAGAAAACCAGTCATGGCACCGATGGTATAGCTGACTATGTTACTGGTGAAAGTGTCAGAACAAGCAAGGTTGAGCAGTTGAGAAGGATCACAGAAGAAACTAGAAATTTCTACATCCTTGAAACAGGTAAGTTGTAACACAATCACATTGTGCACCTGGGAGTCCAAAAGGCTAACGCAAAAGGACACCAAAACTAAGGAGCAACAGAGGCGTGGGTTCATGATGACTGTGTAGTGCAGTGGGTGACAGATGGCCACAAACCTGTCATAGGCCATCACAGTAAGAAGCATACTATCCATACACGCAAAAAAGATAAAAATAGACATCTGAGTCAGGCAGCCTGAATAGGAGATGACTTTGCTGTGAGATTGGATGTCCACAATCATCTTGGGAACTGTGGTGGAGATGAAACCGATGTCAACTGAGGACAGGTTGGAGAGGAAGAAGTACATGGGGGTGTGGAGGTGGGGGTCAGAGGTGACGGCTAATATGATGAGCAGGTTCCCCAGCACAGTGACCAGGTACATGGACAGGAAGAGGACACAGAGCAAAGGCTGCAGTTCTGGATCATCTGAGAGTCCCATGAGGAAGAATTCTGAGATGCTTGTTAGATTTCCAGTTCTGTGTATCTTGGACACCTCTGGAAAAAGAAAAGAGGTCTGGAAACAAAGGAAATAAGT